GTTAGGTTTACAATAAGCAGAAAAAAGATAAATTGAATTAAATCAATACATCTGAAGCTTGCGTAAGAGCAAGATTCCTATGTATTAGCAAAAACAAAAAACAGAAACAAAAAACACTGTACGCAGGGCAAATGTGCTTGGTCACACCGGCCTTCAAATCTATAATTATTTTTCAAAACAGAAACTGAGGTGTTTTTTTTCACTGTCAGGTAATTCAGTTACACAGTTGCCTCCTTTGTCCTTTGTTGCAACTAATTGTTGTGTCATATGTTTGTAGAAATACATTGGATAGTATCCTATTGCAGAAATGATGTCCCACCTCTCCCCTCAGCTACTGCTCACCTGTGATGCCTTGTATTCAAATCCTGCAAGATACAAATACAAAGCTCCCATGTCTAGTTGACATCAGTCACACAACCGAGATCGTTGTGCAATGGGCAGTTTGCCAGCACGTAACTGCCCTACCACTTCACATTTCTACAAAAGTCTTTGAAGCCCAGGGACACTAAGCATTTTGTTAACCAATTCATAATTAGCTAAAGTTTTCCCTTCCCCGTGGGAAAACACACACACATATTTTAATGTTTGATATAGAGATACTCTTTGAATAAACACATGAATGACTTGAACAAAATTGGGAGTTTAGTTAAATCCAGCAAAATAAAAAGTGAAGTTTCTATTATTTCTTTTTGGTCATAAAATTTAAAACTTCTTCCTGTAAGCTGACATTTCTAGCAAGGTATTTAAATAAATAGTAGATATTTTGAGAAATAAATTCCACTGCTATTTCTGCTCTGGTTTCTTTTCAGAAACCAAGAAAAGAGACATATTTGGGATGCAACTCACATAACCCTTTTCCTCTTGGCTTTGCTAACTAGCTTGATGGGAGTTGCAATCCAGCAACAATATTGGGCCAACCATGGTTCTATTCTGGCTAACAATGAAGCCTCATCTATGGTAAAATACAATAGTGATAGAAATGTTGCCACCTGATGCTGATGGCAAAGTTATTGGTGTTGTATACAGTATACAAAGTCCTTTTAACCCTTAGTATATTTTCTTTGCCTGTGTACATTAAATCAATGAAAGTCCTGTTGGCAAACTCTTCTATTTTCTTGTCTTTTTTTTCAAATTGTATATAGTGCTGATTAAATAAAATCATGCAGCAATTGCAAGGTATTTCTAATGAGGTGTTAAAAAAAACCCAATTGAAACCTGTAAGAAGAGTATACAGTAACTGTCAAGTCCATCACTGATTATATGTCATGTTGAAATTAGCTGTTCACATATATTTTCAGGAGTGCACAGAGAGTAACTGAAGATGAACAAAAAAGCAAAAAGAGAGAATGTTGTAATTGGACTCTCAGTTCAGTTCTCATGTCATGGAAAAGAACCTTCTACAAGAGAAGAGTAGGGCAATATCAGCATCACGTTGTTTTCCAGTTTCACTGGATAGTGAAGATTTCATTTTTGCTACTGTTATTCTAAAGTGCTGACATATCACAGTAGAAGAAGAAAGTGCACTTTAGACACAACTCAGGCCCATAAGTAGATCAGGGTGAGTAGATCTATCCAGAAACAAAAGGCAGATTGTAACAGGATACAGCTGCAAGCCTTTTAACATCTAAAGAAATTGATTATCACAGCACCTCATGCCAGGATAACACTAGTTTAAGACTAATAACAATGAGCTTGAACCAAATAATTTTCACTGTTCAGTATATTTTGTATAATCACAGTGCGTATAGTACTACAAGGAACAACGACAAATATGTAATGTCTTTAGAAATCAGATCAGAGGGCCACCTTGCTATTTCTTTAGGGTACAATCACTTAATCCCTTAAAATCATTTATTTCCCTTTCCTTTACTGTCTGCCAGTAGAAACTGAAATATCTACTTCTGCTTACTAGGCTTAATTCTCTCTTTAATTCTATCTGACTTTGTCCTAAGAAAGCATTATGGGAGGAATTGGGGGTGGGTGGAAAGAGAGAAGGAAGTAATCTGTCACTAGCAAAACCATCAAAACTATTTGCAGGCTTGTCTCCTAAGAACATCTGTGACTAGTATTGTATTGCAGGAATTGAAATATTTTAAAAAAACCCTTAAATTTAAAGAAGTTTCAAGCAGATCAATACTCATGTCTTTTGAATGTGAAACAGTTGACATAAAAATATAGTGCTGTGCACAAGAAGGGCTGCTGAAAGAGAAATTGAGTGATACAATTAGCACCTGCCTTTATTAGCATCTGCCATCATAGCATCAATGGAAACTGATTAGCATAGCAGAATCCTATCAGATCTGTATTTTTTCTCTCTCTGCAGGCTTGGTGGTTTTATTAGTATGTTCTGCCCCCAGAGAAAGATGGGGGCTCTGAGGAACTTCCTACTTATAATGGCTAGTGACACCATTGGAGTCTTGGTCATCTACCGGGATACAGAGAGGATCATGGGAGTGGCATTATTGAAATGTTGTGGTGACAAGGGAAATGATTTTTTTTGTTGCTACATCCTCATAAGACTGCTGTGTGAGGCTCTGTTGAGGAATTTGTGACCTTGTACAGGCCAGTCAAAAGAAGGAACTCTGAATTGCTGGTTGTTGTTGGTTTGCAATGCATTTGGAAGTCTGGCACGACCTGGATCCTGTACATTATGCCAAACATGTGGTGTTGGTGTTCACCAGCCTGCCCTGTTTTTGTTGCATATGTTTCAGGTGTTGAGACCTGAGAATATGGGCGACGTGTTTTATTCTATCTGGCCAACAACATGTGCTGTCAGTCCTTACTTTGGTTGATTACAGACAGTAAATCAGTGCTTCCCTGGGGGATGACCAACTGCTAGTGTCTTCAAAAGAGTTAGTATTTTGGCTGCCTCTGCAGAAGCAGAAGGTGGATCTCTCATTATCTGAGAGACTGACTCCACAAGCTGCTTTCTTTCTTGTTTGGAGTGCTGCAGGAATGGGCTGGTGTGCTGTTAAAGATGGTGATCAGATGATGTCTTTCCTAGAGCGCAGCAATCCGCCCTCCATGCGTTCCTATTTTCACCATTCTGGTCCCACTCAAGGGGCTTCTACTGGTGTGAGTAGGATCTCTCTGGTTTGGATGAGCTGTAAAGCAGGCCTTCATCTTTCAATTTGCCAATATTGTGAAGGTGCTTAACAAGCAAGCCACTTAAGGATTTTGGCCAATTAATCACTTACCTGCTCAGCAGAGGACAGGGGAAGTACAAAAAAAAATTTTTGGACAGTATGTAGACTATTGCTGGTGCACTACATGAATTATTAACTTTTTTTAAAAAAATCTTCTTTGCCTTGCCTTAAAGTACCAGTCAAGAAACCACCTGAAGTTAAATCCATGGAGTCATGGTGTTTTCTGTGCTACCATTTGCAATTGTAAACACCAAAAAAATTAGCAGCCCTTTATATGGAAGTTTGCTTTTATGTAAACATATGCCAGTTTAAATTTCTATTCCTATTGCACATTTAGTGGCTGATAGCTGACTTATTGTTACGGCCCATTAGGTAGCTAAAGAGAGAGTAGAAAGGCAAAATGACTTTTATGATGCATTTGTGATTACCATCATGCTATTCATTCCCATGTAATAGTCTGATCTTAATGCGTAAGTGTTAAATGTGAGTAAAGATCCTGAAACAAAAATAAAGAATCATAAATGACCAGACAAATTGCTCGACAAAGACCATTAGACTGCCATGTCTTCATATGTTATTCACTTACTATACAGCGAAGTATTTATAAGAATACAGCTAGCAGTTCTCTGTTTATACAGTGCAGTTAACATTACAATAAGCCAATGAGATGTAACATAATCTTCCCCAGACTGTTGCTATTTATTTCTTGATTGTTCATAGTGGTTGGACGAAACAAAAGGGATGAATGTGTGTTGTTTTGTTCTTACTAAATTGTATGCTTCTGTGCCATTTGCAAAGATTAGTGTTTGATGATCATGTAAGCAGTTATCCTGAAAGATCTGAATCCAAAGTATTTGTTCTGGTGGCTGTATTATGCTTTTTAGTTCACCAGAATGTCCAGCAGTGTGAGATGATTAGCTGCCCTTCATGATCAGCAAGATCACAGGTTCTTCTTTACTGAATACTCATATATATGTTACAGTTTGTATAACCAGCTCAATGTCCCGTACTGTCACAGCTGGAATAGGCCTACTTAATCAGTGTGAGTCAACTCCTCTGTAAGTTCCATTGATTCAATGGGCATACTCTAGTAGTGCCTTACTACTGGATTTCAACCACACAGTTAGCTTCCATACATTATTTCAGGATTCTGTCATATATGCAGTTTCTCTTGAGCCTATGGTTTTATGGTGCCCAATGGGGCACTTTTACTTAAATAAAAGCAATAAATAAATAGATTTCTTCCTTTCCTCATCAGTCCTAATAAAAACTTTATTGCCAATTTTAAATTCCCACTTACCTCTGAAGGACGTGTTGGAATAATATGTGTATGCCAACCTGAAACGCAATGAAAAGGAGTATCTAGGGGGTACTAACCTATAAAACACAACATGAAATTTCGAAATCATTGCCAAACAGCCACAGCTTTCATATATGGCTTATTTTACATAACTCCCAAGTTGTTTTGTACTGTAAATGATTAAGGGGTTAAAAATATGATCGATCTTCTGAAGCAAGATCCCTATCAATGTCTGGTACTGATGCAGGATTATAGAGTAGTATATTGGTTCATGAATGGCAACATTCTGTTTATACTTTTTAATCTATTCAGTGTGAGAATTGTTTTCTTTTGGGTATTGGTTCATGAATGGCAAAAATCTGTTTATATTTTTTAATTTATTCAGTGTGAGAATTGTTTTCTTTTGGGTTGCCCTCGATTTTGTTCAGTAAATGGTGCTTATTTTTTTTTCCTTTGGAGCTCTGGTTTTTGTTTTAATATTATGTCCCAGTATATTACTTTCTTACTCTCTCTCTCTCTCATACCGCAATACTTTCTGTTGTGTTTTCCCTTAGAATGGCTTCACTCCTTTATACATGGCAGCCCAAGAGAACCACATTGAAGTAGTGAAATACCTTCTGGAAAATGGAGCAAATCAGAGCACTGCTACTGAGGTACAAGTACTATTGGATGTTTTCTTTACACGTGATCCCTTCATCTCCTTTGTGTTAAAAAATCATGAAGGCCAATTATTACATAATCTGTTTTTAAAGTTTCCCTTTAGACTTTTATTTTAAAACTCTGTCTTCTGGAGTTGAAGAGCAATAGAGGATGGGATGTGCTTAATCTCCCCGCTGCACCTTGCCACACTTCCTCAGGATCACTCTAATCTCTATCCCCTGAGTTGCTTTCTTGCCTAAAAGGAAGAGAGAAGTACATTTCACCCACCAACTGAGAAAGCTTTTAATGCTGAGGAGGGAGAAGATAAAGGGGATATGTTTCAAGAAGGGGAAGGCTTGAACAAATGTAGGATGGGATGTGCTTAATCTCCCCGCTGCACCTTGCCACACTTCCTCAGGATCACTCTAATCTCTATCCCCTGAGTTGCTTTCTTGCCTAAAAGGAAGAGAGAAGTACATTTCACCCACCAACTGAGAAAGCTTTTAATGCTGAGGAGGGAGAAGATAAAGGGGATATGTTTCAAGAAGGGGAAGGCTTGAACAAATGTAATAATAGTGAATTTAAGTGAGAGAAAAAAGACATATACACTTTGGGGATCTGAATTAGTAGTAACTCACCAAAAAGGAGATCTTGGGGTTGTGAATTCGTAGGTTTTTACCAGATTAAACCATTGAGCTAGCTAAGAGCTCTGAGGTTTCATGAAACATAATAATGTCAAATATATTGTTTTCTGGCTTCAACCTCAGTCAGTTCTTTAATCTTTATTCTCTATTATTTTTTTAATCTCTACTATTGCATTTTTTTTTTAAAAAAAGCTCTCCTTTTCCTTCACTCATTTTTGTGTCTCCCATTTAATCTCTGCCACTAATACTGCCCTTACAACTATAATTCCATTGTGGAAACATTATTATTTCCCCTGGGAGACACTAGATGTGTGGAGCACATATCATGGTTGTTGTTGTTGTTGTTGTTTTAAAATACCTGTCCAAGAAGGATGGGAATTGTCACAAAGTTGTGCCTCCTGTCCTGTTCCAGCCAGGTATTTTGGAAGGATACCATTTTTGATGGTACTGAGAACCCAAGAGGTTAGCAAAGTGTCATTAATGCTTGTAACATTGGCCTGTTTAACTGCGCTGTTTGTGTGTCAGATTGAGAGTGCAACTACACTGTAGGGAAAATACTCTTTGGTCTGCTGTGTTCTTCAATTTTTCAAATCAGCTCCCTGCTGATGTGTGGTGTATAAAGATAGTTTGGTATTCTATTTGTGCCTCTGGTGACATCAATGGAACTGGGAATCATATGGAGATAAATGGTTTGGTATTCTGTTTGTACCTCTGGTGACATCAATGGAACTGGGAATCTTTAAGGGAAATCCAACCTTCTCTTTTGTTTCTAACATTTATTTTCCATGCTTCATATAAGAAGATCTTATGATATATATTCCTAAGGCTGTATATTGGTTGGTCTAAATTACTCCTTCAGATCTCTTCAGAATTTCTAAAGGCCTACTCAGATATCACTTACCATTTTTTTTCAAGAGACAAGGAAGTAAATGCCTAGCTCCTTCCTTCATCGCAGTATCCGCGAGTGGAAGCAATCAATCTGAAGAAGAGAGGTTTCTGTTCTCCATGTAATCAAGAACTCCCAAAATTCAGGGAGGCACCCCAGACACCCCTCTGCTTGCACGTGTCAAGAGCCTAAAAGTAGAGTTAAAGTTTAATTAAGAAGGCAGAAAGTGTTGATCCATGGACAAATCTGTATATTCCCAAATGCTCTTCCACTTTTAGCAGTTGTGCAATCTGAACTGGTCCCTTATCAACTCCTGCATTTGTCACCCTCCTTGGTATGAGGTAAACTCACCACGGGGCATTTAAAATGGTATGGCATTTATTAGAGTTGCACTCACACCAAGCTCGCCTTTGTTAACAGCTGTTTTGCCATCCTTTCATTCAGTGGATACTGTTGCATTTGATGAAGGCTCCTAAAATAATCTTTTCTGTTGCTGGGGTGGACTGAGATCATGTTACCATTGCAGCTTTACTGGGGTATGAACTCCTGTGAGGTTGCTAAGCAACTCGGCAGAAACAGTGCTTGCAAATGAATCACTGGATGCTCTTGCAATACATAATTCTGTGCATGTCTTGTTTTATGTTCCGTGTATTAATGAGAAATGTATGGTTCATCTTCCTGGTCCCACTCTAGACTTATCAGTTGGATTCACCTCAGAGTAATATGAATTTGAAAATGCAGCCATGTTATCATAAAAAAGAAATAATAAGCAGCTGTATAGCTATTTTTAAATACAAGGCCAAGGTACTGCATGAAATAGGATGAGATGCCATTCCACTTTCTCAGGTGGATCTAAAATCCTCCCACTTTTAAAAAAAATCAGACATAATTTAACCTGATTTAAATGGGAACAAAAATCTACTTCGCTTCCATTGTCTTGTACTTTGATTATTGGTCCAAGCAAAGCTTGAGGTTTCCTTTGATTTTGTATCAAGCAGGTGACTTGGAGGGCAAGATCATGTTGGCTTAAAAGAAAGCCCTTCTGCTGTAGCTCCTTGTAATCAGGCAGAGAAGGAAGGATGATCTGGTTTTCCAGTGTGGCAAGCAGCTTTGCCATTCATAATCAGGCACTATCTGGCTCCCTAATTAGCATATTGGTTGGTATGCTAATGGTGCCCAACTATTTTGTGTACTTTGGGAGCCACTTGCATAAACAGGTATTGGATGCCTCTTTGTGCAAATGAATAGAATGTAGACTTGTTAGTACAATCAGTTGTTGTGCAGGTTGTATGTCCCACTGGAGTCTTGGCCCAAACATATGGTGGTTACTTAAAATTAATACAAACAGCAGTCCATCATTCGCTCTGTGTGTACAGCACCCTTCCCCTGCCATTAACAACTGCTATCGAAATTTGGGCATACCTAAACTAAACAGTGTTAGATCCCGTAACACTGTTTCACACTTCAGCAAGAAGAACTTATCAAGTTCACATTATGTATGAATGTACGTAGTCACACTTCTTAGAATTTTGTGGTAGATTTTTCTGTAGAAAATATTGCATAGCATTATGGTAGGTGCTGGTAAGTACTAGGACCTGGGGCCATAGCTGGTTGCATTAGCCCCCAAAATACTCATCTCCAGAAAAGAAAAGTAGTGGCTAGAAATTCACTCCCTGTTTTGAGGTGGGGGGTGTCAAACAAAAAGCAAGGTGTCCTTTCCTTGTTTGTTTGTTTACAGGAATAGAGCTCAGGAACTGCAAGAATTGCTTTGGAGTCATTGCCCTCCTCTGTCTTAGGGAAAGTATCCATAAAAATTCTTGCAAGCAATAGTATACCAAAGAAAATCATTGAAATATGTGTATACTAGCTTGTGTACAAAAAAATAGCATATTCAAAAAGATGATACAACAAATGCTTGCATGTATTCATGCACCTTTTCACTGAAAAGTAAGTGGGCAGAGGAGATGAAATAAACTTCAAATGGGGAAAAATCAGAGAGAAATCTGTTACAATTTCCTTCTGAGTTTAATATCTGGAGATATAAAATCTAGTACTAAATTTATTTGGAAACTTTTCTCAGTGTAGTGCAACAGGGTTTTTGGATGTGAGTTTTAATTCCCCCACCCACCCCCCAAAAATTCAAGCCTAATATTTCCAAATGTTATTATAAAACAACTCTGCATTGAAACGGCTGCTACTGCAAAGGCCCGTATAGGTTCTCACTTCCAATTACTTAAGACTCCTAGTGTGGCCTAAACCCAACTTGTTGATAGTGTGTAAAAACACTGTGCTTGTCAAATTCTGTTGGCTTTTCCCATGTGCCACACTTGCGGTCTGTAGGCATGCAGCTGCTGGACTAGGTTGTGCAACAAGTTTTAAATATAGTTGCACAACTATTTGCATAATTGAAGACTGTGTGGCATTTCCTTTTTACACATGGCCTAAAAACAAGTGATCTATGAGTGTAGTGATTTATTTTATTGGAATAGCAATGTTGGCTGTGAGTGAGTTTGCATGTGTGTGTGTTGAGGGAGAACTCATGATTTCTGTTGCTCTGTTTTCTTAAAAATGTGAAAACCCTGCTCTGACTCGTTTAGGGGCCAACTGCTAATTTTAGTGATTGGGGCTATGGATTTCCATCCCCCCCCCCAATCCTGTCTGATTATTCCAACTGGTGACTTTCTGAAGTACTTTTTTCTTTCCACTACAACAGGATGGCTTCACTCCATTAGCTGTTGCATTGCAGCAAGGACATAATCAGGCAGTGGCTATCCTTCTGGAGAATGACACTAAGGGGAAAGTGCGGTTGCCAGCATTGCATATTGCTGCCAGGAAAGATGACACCAAATCAGCTGCACTTCTGCTCCAGAATGATCACAATGCTGATGTTCAGTCTAAGGTAAAAATAGTCCGTGACTTTTACACAGTAAAAGTGGGATGGCACCAAAAATGATTGCTTCCAAGGGCTCTTTCTTGCATTATGTGGGGCCAGATGATCTTTTCATCTGAGGAAGGAGCTGCAGCCATTTGTAGCTGCTTGTAGGATTCCTTCAAAACAGCCACATTCTTGTCTCATACTTTTACACTGAACATATTTAAGTGTACATATAAAATATCTTGCACATGTACTTTAAAAACATATTGTATTAGGCAGCCCCTAAGACAGTAGTATCCAATGCTTGGAAAAGTTACTTTGGGAAATTACAGCTCCCAGAATCCCCTGGTTAGCATAATCAATGGCCATGCTAGCTAGAGGATTCTGGGAACTGCCATCCAAAGTAACTTTTCAAGCTAAACTCATATTCATTCAATTGGTTTAAAAATATCAGTGCAAATAATATTGCTCCTTTTGTTATGGTGGGTGCTAAAACCAGCATCTGCAATAAAGTTCTTCTCCATACTATGGAGTTTCAAGAGGAATGAATTTGCTTTGCAAAGGCACCAATCAGGCTTAACTTTATAGTCTCTTTTTAACCATTGAAGGATATTTGGTTTTTTGTGCATTTGAAGATGTAGTCTTATTAGCACAAGTGATTTTCTCTGTCTCTGAAATATCAAATTCAGTAAATTTCTTAAATCTCCCAAAACAATTGTTGAAGCAGTCTTGTTGAGTAGGATATTGGTCTCTGTGACCCATAGGAGTTTAGGTTGCCTACATTTAAATCTGAAACTAACTTGTTTGTCAGCTTTTCCCCCATAACAACAAAATAATTCATTTCAGTGAACAACTTGGTTCTCTATTTTCTGCCAATCTGTAATATTTTTCCTTTTCTCCCCAAAACATGCTGCAACAGATGATGGTGAATAGGACAACTGAGGTACCAAAAATAATGGTTTTGTTAATTTTTTCCCTTCTATCTCTATGGATAACCCCTGCATATTTTTCCTATGCTGTACAGTTCACTTCAAACAGTGTCCTATGTAATATCTAAATATGTACAAATGGTAGCCATTTTTTCTATTTTCTCTTGCACTTTTATTCTTTTTTCCATGGATTTATGTTTTGGAATTGAGGATGATAGTGACAGTACCTCTGTCTTGTCCGGGTTCAGCCTCAGCCCGTTCTCCTGCATCCATTTCAGTACGGCCTCCAGGCAGCGCTGAAGGCACAGAACAGCATCTCCTCCAGTTGGTAAAAAGGAGATGTAGAGCTGAGTGTCATCCGCATACTGATGACTCAAGGCTCCACACCCCCTGATGACCCCACCCAGCAGCCTCATGTAGATGT